AAGAAAGAAAGAAAAATATAACGTAATGACAGTTTTGACAGTGATTGATATTGACGATAGCGACCCTTGACAGCTATGCATATTGATGTGCTATGTGGGTTCAAGGCTATTAAGAACTTGCCTTAGAGGCTGAGGACTCGAACAATCCTCGGCTCCGATAAGACGAGAAACCTTTAACCAACATATTTATTGCCTTTATTGCTCTTAAGTGTTACATATTTCTATACAATAGTAATTACTAAAGTATTTCGTTGCCTTGAGAATAAAAAAATGAAAGAATGGCGTCAAAGAAAGGGCGACTACCGAGAGAAAATTCTTAAAAAAACGTTAAATGTTCAAAATACACTTTTGAAAATCTTTATTTTTTGGCTTTTCTAATTCAAGTGAGGTTTTGGAACTATGATTTTTAAGTTTTAGATTAACGATAGATTTAATAAAACCACTATAAGTAATGATCGAAATATAGATACTTATTACTCATAAATCGACTTTTCTGCTGGAAAATACAATATCTCTCTATATATTTATTAGACTAAATCCTGTATATTTCCTATATCGAATGAACTGGCCAAGATATATTTATAAAGCAAGATGATAAATAGTCGACAGAAGAGTTATTAGACAAGTCCTAATATTAGCACTAATAAAAAAAATTGTCTTGGAAAGCTATCAATGTAAAAGATTGATTTGTTTAGAGTCAAAGCTCAGAAAGGAGGCCAAGATTAGTTGTAAATGAAAAAAATATCAAAAAATATCAAAAGTATCAAAAAATATCAAAAATATATGAACAAATTGAAAGCAAATACATGTTTCTTAGCTTAGCGAAAAAGATTGACTCTTAATCATCGTTATTTTGATAACAAGATTTTATACTCTTAGCCGTTTGTAATGTAGAACCTTATTGAACCAATTTTTTGGGTCCGCGTTATTTGTATCAAAAGCTTTACTTTTATTACTATGAATTTAATAATGTAAAAAGCCATTTAAATGTACTTACTCCGCTTACACTTTAGTGGATTCTCTAAGGAAAATATATATAGTGAATCATGTGTGCTATCAAATAAATAATGCATAGATCTTTTGATCTGTTTCCTAGGGTGTGGGTTAAATTATTATTACTTATCATAACTAAAAAGCCATTTAAATGTACTTACTCCGCTTACACTTTAGTGGATTCTCTAAGGAATATATATGTGAATCATGGTATCAAATAAATGATGCATAGATCTTTTTGATCTGTTTCTTAGGGTGTGGGTTAAATTATTATTACTTATCATAACTAAAAAGCCATTTAAATGTACTTACTCGTTCGTACACCCGTGCAATTTAGTGGATTCTCTAAAGAATGTATAGATGTATGTATAGATGGGCAATCTGATTTCTTGCCTACTCGCCCATATTCGCCCAGATAATCCAAAATGGCGGCGGAAACCGTGATAAGGCCTATCCTATAAATGCTTGGATCATTTTATTCACGGCGTGCGTACTTTTTTATTTTTAGATACTAAACATAGTCTCCGCATTCCCTATATATTTATAACCGGCCATGTGTCATCTTGTCTTTCCTTCCCAGTATATTAAAATATTTCGCATTTATGGCTTGATTGCCATTATAAATCAAAGAACAGACAGAAAAATRACCCGTTTTATTCATATCCAAGAAAGCGATTGGTTCGCGCGCTTTTTAAAATACCTTAAAATATTCCTAATGGATCTCAACCGAACGACCCTCAATATAGCAAGAAAGCACAATCACAAATTTAAAGGTTAACGAGCTGTCCCTTTAGCGCCAAAAAATTTCAAGAWTGTAACACATTAGTCTCAATATCCCGCCAAAGAAAACCAAACGACGATAAAATTAGTTTTGCGGTTTATAGTAGGAGGTAAAACTCACATAGGATGGTTAGCATTCGATACGTGGTTAGATGAATCCGTTGGCGGGTTATTGACCCAGCACTCGGAAAGCAGACAAGAATGCTGACAAACGCACACGTATTGTATCGTGTTATTRCGTTTCTTTGCGACCAATCCGTCTACGGATGTTTAAGAATGTTGAGTGATGCACCGACCCTAAAAAATCAGACGAACAACGCGAAATCGTACTCTAACTTACGCCGATCCATTCTCGAACCGTTTCATTTGATTTTAAGAAAATTATAGCAACAAGTTCTAAAAGGTTTTTTTCGGCGATTGTTTTAACGAAGTGCCTAGATACCCGGGGCACCCGAGAACAAATTTCAAAATACTACATACCCGGGAGTTTTTGATTTTTGAAAAAAATCGTCACATAAACACATCTTTGCCCATTGAAAGTATTCTTACCAGTGGCGGATCCAGGACTTTAAGAGGAGGGTTCATTTTTGCAAATCTCGGCACAACAATAACGTTCTCTTGCATCATCATTTTTCCCATGAGGCACATCACTGGCCTAGAAGCGCTCCTGATAAGGATAACCTATCCACCAGTCCCATTTTATATTAAAGCTCATGAGTTAGTACCATACTTTTATTTATTTATTTTAAAAAATATAAAAAATCCAAGGTACCAGCCGGTGGGGGGGGGGGGGGGGTTTCATTTGCACCCAATGAACCCCCCCTAAATCATCCACAGCTTACTTTATTTAGGATTAGCGTTAGCAGAAGCGCTTGACTATTATAAATAAAGTAAGAATACTTTTAATGGGCAAAGATGTGTTTATTTGACGATCTTTTTCAAAAATCAAAAACTCCCGGGTATCTAGTAATCTAGACACTGTGTTGTTAGTTTAAGTGTTGATGTGAAGAAAACCTTGTTTTCGTTTCAGGAAGATTTTCTATCATGAACTAAGAATCCTACGAAAACGCCCCCAGTTATCTTCTCCTTAATGCTGTAGTGTTATTGATGTGAACGGCTCTTTAGCAGCCATGTTGATAATGACAATGATTATTTTAGCTTACATTACGATTAAATGAATTAACTTCTAAGAAAAAAATCATTAAAAGCTACTTACCCGATAAAGGCGATACTAAGGACGTCTTACTGACGACTTCTTTCTCAGTCTGCAACAAACGATAAAGAAAATTCGTTTTGAATATTTGAGTACTCGGAATAATAAGCTAGAAAACTGTCGTGCTGTTATGAGCTAGGGTATGTAACACTACACCAAAGGTCTTGGAAATGTATTTTAGCTGTGGTTAAATAATGTACAGAACAATCCATAAAAATATTATAGGAAATTTGAAGTTCAAGGTTGTATCTTTTGGTAAGATTTACAGGGAAGTAAGGGGGAGCGGGAGGGGGGATTTACGATGAATCGAAGTGCAAATTGACCACGAATAATGGCCCATTACTGTACCCAACCTCATACTTACGATGCTTTCATAAATATCTCAGAATCGCAACAACGAATTATAAGCTAGACTGTGCGCTGGAAACTTGAATTCAAACACTGTATTTGTGTCGAAAGAACAGATGTTCATTGACTTTGGCAATATTTATATTGGTGTTTCTAAGTGTGGAGGTACTTCATATTCAAGAGTAATCTAAAATCGTGGGGAGAGACTTTGTACATGGAGCGAAGGAATTTTAAAGCACGTCACGTGTACTGTTAATCCAATCACCTACTGATATGCTCATTATTTCACTAGTCCATCATAGTGAAGTAAATCTATTGATTTTTCTACGAGTAAAGGTAGACTTTGATAGAAACGATTCCACGTGCGCAGACAAAATAAACTAATACTTAAATGGACTATATTGACAACAATATACCACTGTAACAATATCAAACTGTCGAGTAATCGAATAGTAGGGTAGCGCTAATGTTGTAAATTATCTGCTACAAATAACGCTACTGTTATGAAAACTCAAATCACGTCTCTGTTCTTGAGAATCTCATACTTAACTACCAAGAAGTCTAGAGAAGCAAAGACTAGAGAGACAGAGAAAGGTCGACAGAGAGATTCCCTAGTGGTGACATACTTTAAAAGATATCAAGCGCATTCATGAGTGGGCTTAAAATAGTGAACATACCAAGATCTAATGCTTGAATAAACTCCACTGCTTCTGTCTCTTACTCTCCAACTGTTCTCAAAATTTAAAAATAAACTTCTGTAAAACTACAGCTTGCTTCACCAGCTTATTCGAGAGCAGCTTCAAGGTTCGACTAATTATGTCCAACACCGTTCTTCTTGACCCTAAGACACACTTATTGAAACTATAAACGCTGCTTAAATGCTGACCCCGAAAGATCTGTGTAAACCTTTGTACTACGGCCAAGCCCAAAAGCATGTAATCGGAAATAGCTTTTTGGTGATCATGATCGCTCTTTAGGTATGGGAAGTACGTTCGACTGTTGCTATAGAAATCCCATGCGCGCGCGCCAGTGGAGGAAATAGCCATAGATCGATATTGAGTGAAATTATAGGAAGACGTCACATAGGTAATCTTTTGTCAACAGGACGTCAGCAAGAGACAGATATTGGGAATCAAAAGAGGATGTTTACGACTGAAGAATGTATCAACGAGAAAAAAACAGGAAAACAAGTTGAAAATGGTCCCCGGAAAAATTGAATGAAACTCCACAAGATTTAAATGGTCAAAAAAAGTATATTGTAGAGTGACAAACGGAAAAAAGAAAAGAAAAATCAAAATTGCCATTAATTCTACTACATGTGCTCATTTTATTTCGTGTAACACAAATAAGGAAGTGCTTATGAATAATGGTGATGGCAATATTCCGGCTAGCGTTGTCACTTTTTTGCCCCCATTGATRTTGATTACAGTACGCTAATTATCTTCACTTATCTTGTACGCCGGAAAATAATTCCCAAGTACCTGAGTAGTGGAAGAACAAGACTTAAACGTGCAAAACTAAACTTACTGTTACTAATTAATGCGCAAGATAGATCAAGGACGCTGCTCTTTTTTCTTTTTGTTCTTCTTTTTGTTTGTAGCTATTTATTTAGTTTTTAAGCATCGATATTCCCTCTTATTTATCTTGGAATTGAAACTGTTTTTCTCCCGCAATTCTTGGTACGATTTTTATCAGTGAACAATACACATTAAAAGGGGTTTGTAGTTCCCTCGCTTTCCTTATTTTGCTTTCTTCGACCAAGAGTTCCGCCCTATTTTGATCGTTAAATGGACGAAATTTACCAGGAAGTTTTATTTTTGTTTATTTATTTATGATTATTTCGTGGAAAAAGATTTTTTTGATTTTTTTTTTGAAGAGAGAGAGAAAGATGAAAGGATGCATGAAAGAAAATAAGCAAGCAAACGAATAAATGAATGTAGGAAAAAAGAATGAATGTTTTAAAGGAACAAAACAAACAGAGAAAAGAAAGAAAGATAAAAACAACAACAAAAATTAAATAAAAAAGGAAGAAATCTTAGTTCTAAATATTACTCTATTTTGACCTTCTTAATGAAAGTGTTGTTTTTGCTAACGATATCTAATGACTTCCGCAGCCAACATGCATAAGATGGCACCCTCATCTACAGATACTGTATTAACAATTACTTGATCAAAAACACTTTCATCTATTCCTGCGTCAAGAATATCCCTGTTACGTGTTTACTCTAAATATATCAGTCTTGGCCTAAAATTACTGATTACATCATTTTTAACCAATCGCCTTTCAGCAAATGCAATCAGTATTTATTGCATCATTTCAAGAGTAAGAGTCTTACCATTCAAATTCCAGTAACGCTAATCAGTTGCTATTTATGGACAAAAAGGTGTAACTTTTTATATACTTCATTCTCGCTAATTTTCGCGCGTACATAATTTCTCGAAAATTCAGAAGCTGTATTTCGTATTTGAATTTAGCAAAGACCAGTTTTAATACATCGAATGTTTCAGTTAAGTATAGAACCTATGAAAAAAGGGAAAGACTGGGAACGAGCACCACGAACAATGAATTATTTAAAAAAAATATTAAAAAAAAAATTTAACAATTACTCGCCAGAGGCGAAGTGATTATCGGCGAATATTTACCGAGCCGCGAATCTTATTTCTCGGTCTGGACGTCTTATTTCTTATTTCTCGGTCGGGATACATTTAGATTTAGTTATTGTCACGTGGTCATCTATCAACCAATGAGAGTGTTCGTTATATCGGCAATATCCGTAACTATACAACAAGCTGTTTTATCGGTTGTTTTGTCCGCTCCAGGCTACGGCAGATAATAAAGCCTCGAATATCTAATGTCCTTGCCCAGTCTCCGCGCAACGACTATGTACCCAGCATCCCAGCCTCCCACACGTTCGGTCAACATTACTGTAATGTTTGAGACATCTATTTTTCTTAATTATCCTTTTTAGTCACTTCTGAAGCTTCCACAAGGACCGCTTGACTGGAGCATTACCTAGAAAGTTATGTTATTGTATGGAAGAAATCTATCTATATTACCCCCCTCCAGCAAAACCAAAACTGTTATGCGTGGTTTCGTTGTTTTAGCTTTTATAATAAAACTGTTGTTTCCAGGAGTTCTTTCTCAATTATCAAAAAAAAAAAGGTGTCCAAAGAAAAAAATATTATTACTTTATAATTTCAACAATATGAGGAACTACGTACTCTCGACTTTCACATCCCCATAATGCCTTGCGTTTT